CAGGAGAGGAAGACCCTCTATGAGATGGATTGATTCAGTGACTGGGGTAATGGGGTTAGGTGTGTCAGAGACAGTGAGATTGGCACAGGATAGAGCAGGGTTTAGGGCTGTTGTACATAGGGTCACTATGAGTTGCAGGTGGCTCAATGGCATATAAAAACAACAACAAGAAGAAGCCCTCCTTCCTATCTGGAGTGTGTGAAGGGAAGGAAACCAGTGCCTTACCAGCTATTCTGTGGCTGCTGTTTTGATTTGTTAGCAGTTGACCCCCACCATTGCTGTTTCCAAGAGTGAGGCTTATTAGGAAGATAGTTTGGAGAGTAGGGAAGGCAAAGACTATTACCCAATGCAAGTCTAGGTTTTAGTCCAGCAGTCCCAAGGCATTCCTCAATTATTCCAGGCTCTAGCTTCATTTGAGCAGTCAGCTTTTCCTTCCATCATTCGGCAAGAACAGCAAAACAAACCCCACCATTGCTTTTACATTGTCAGCACAAATATCAACACAGTGAAATGCAAGATAGGCTTTTAGCATTATGAAAAAAAAAATTACCCTCTTTATCCCCAAAAAGAATATTGAAGACACCCTTTCACGAGTCCGTGGGCCTCATTGGGAGAAATACTGCTATAGTTTATAACCCTTTCTATTCAACCTCACCTAACTCCAGATGACCAAGACTGGGTAATTATTTACTTTAAAAAATGTAATTAGAAGATGGCTAATCATTAGCAATTATATCACATGTAACTTGTGAATAATGGATTTAATAAGGTTCTTTGAGACCATTAGTGTTTAATGCATCTTTTTTAAAAAATAGGAAATTAGCTTAGCAAATCTTATCTACAAATCCTTGTTCTCTAATTTTCTGCTTCTATGCCCCAAGGGTCTTGGTTTGTAGTAATGCATTGTTTTTCACAATTGTTCTCTTGCATGTGTATTGGATGGGGCAGGATAAATTTATCACGTTCAGATTCTAGGATACCTCTCATCAATGATGCATAGTTAAATGCCCTCAGCTATGTTGTATCATTATTAACAAGACATTTTTTCTGTTTCACTCTAAAGTCTGCTGTGTCTCTGGTACAATATAGTACATTTAAGCCAGAAGCAGAGGGAGTAACATTTACTCTAGAAAATTCTACCAGGTTCCATTCATTTAAGTTAATTCGTTTGGCTCATTCTCCTCTCTCCCGATTGCTATGCTAATTTTAATAACTCCTTTTTATTCTTTAGTTTTTATGACTTTTAATGGTTAACTTCAGCTCTTCACTTATATCTTTTTCCTTCTTTCTAAATCTCCAATAGTTTTTCTGTTTTTTCTTCCAGTCTCCCTCTGCTCTGTAACTTGAAGAATATCAGTCTGTAAAATGTCACCAAGTGGACCAAATTCTTAACTCAGAGAAAGGATTGTAGGCAGTTATACATGCTTAGCTGAGCTATGGTAGGATTCCGGTAGTTGTTTTGTAAGGATTCAGGGCCATCTGTTTTCTGCTGTGAAGTTTGTTCTGGAGGAAATAATAAATTAATTAATAGCTGACCAAACATGCAATGCCACACGATGCAGAGCTTCGTGCGCATGGCAGCAGGATAGTCCTGTCCACTGGTCAACATGTTCCATTGAATATTGCAAGCTCTGAGTGATAAATGCAGCCATGTCTCATCTTCGGGGACGGGTTAGGAAGGAAAGATGCGAAAGTTCGTACTTGACGAGGAGAAGCAGGAACATTTTCCCTAAACAATTTCAACTACTCTTTCTAAACCAGACATATCATAGAGTGAGATGAGGACTTTAACATCACATTGCTCTATGACCATTGGACTCGAACATTGTGGAAAATAGCATTCACTGACCTACTTCAATTTTACTATCTGGATAGATGGGCAACACTCCACTTGGGATCACCAAGAACCAGAACCCATGTCAATCATAATCCAATCTTCCTCCCACAACATCACACTGAATTATTGGCTCTGACATTTTAGATATTGATTCTAAATGGGAAGTCTTACTTTTGAAATCTTGGTGTTATTTCCTGCCTTTGTCCATGGTCTCTTAAAATTTAAATAGGATTTCTACATCTCACCAATGGCTTTTGGAGGTGATCTGAATGTGAAGCACTATTGTGATCTCTTAAGACTATGTTTTTTTCTTTCCAGTTCCAGCTATAATTCTCTTCACTTTTATCAGGGTCCCAGCCAAGAAGATGCAAAATTATTACAAACCAGGTTAGAAGAGATATGATGCTCATACAAACCATAATTAGATAGTGAGTTTCTTTGTGTCAGAATCTATCCGTGTGTGAGACGTTATGAGAGTTACAACAGAAGGTATGCAGATACTAGAATTCTTAAATATGACCAATGGTACTGTAAATTGTACAACCAGTGTGGGAAATTATAATATCCTCCTTCAAGAGTTAGGAATTGAAATACTATTTAATCCAACATTCTAATTATTAGGTCTATATCCAAAAGAAATAAGAACTAGGACATGAACAGATACACCTATGTTAATTCCAGCATTATTTATAACAGCAAAGAAAAACAATTTAAATGCTCATCAATAGATGGAGAAAGTGTGGTAAATATGTACAATGAAATATTATGCAACATTAAAGAACAATGAAAAATTCCTGAAACACCAAATAACAATGGAGGAACTTGGAGGACCTTATGCTAGTGAAATAAGTGAGATGTTAAAGGACTAGGTCCTCCTTACAACATGTCCAAAGTATGTTAGACGAAGCCTAAGAATCCTTGCATCCAAGGAGCCGCCCAGTTTAACTCTTTCCAAGATGGATTAAGTAAAACTTTTACCCATGAGAAGCATTCATTTGTTGATGTGGCAAAAGTAAAAATGAAGAGAAACAGCTACAAGGATCCATTAACAAATGGAACATAGAATGTATGAAGTATGGCCTAGGAAAATTGGAAGTTATACAAAAATGAATTAGAACACACAAAGATCAACATTCTAGGCATTGCTGTTAAGAGTCTTCAAGTTGGAACCAACTCATAGCTAGCTGACCCTTTAGTGGGCTGTAAACTTGTGTTTCAGTGACTATGCAAAGGCAATTGACTGTGTGGATCATGACAAATTATAGCAAACCTTGAGAAGAACAGAAATGCCAGAACCCTTAATTACGCTTATGTGAAACCTGTACTTGGACCAGAAAGCAGTTGTCAGAACAGAGCAAGAAAGCACTGCATTGTTAAAAATCTAAAAAGGTGTACATCAGGAATACATCCTATCTCCATACCTTTTCAATCTAAATGCAGAACAGATCATTCGGGAGGCTAGACTTTATGAAGTGGAATGTGGCATTAGGATTGGAGGAAGACTCATCAACAACTTGCATTATGCAGATTATACAACCTTGCTTGCTGAAACAAAGGAGGACCTGAAGTATTTGTTACAGAAGGAAAAGGACTGTAGTCTGCAAAATGGATTGAAGCTCAACATCAAGAAAACAAAGATGGTCTCCACTGGGCCAATTGACAGCACCATGATAGATGATGAAGAGACTGAGATTGTTAACAGCTTCTGTTTGCTTGGCTCCACAATCAACACTCTTGAAACCAGCAGCCAGGAAGTTAAAAGATGAATTGTATTGGGAAAGTCTGCTGTCAGAGACTTCTCCAGAGTTCTAAAGAGCAATGATATCAGTCTGGAGTCTAAGGTGCACTTGATCCAGGCCATAGTCTACACAATTACTTGCTGTGTGTCAGAAAGCTGGACAATGACTAGGGATGATAGAAGAATTGATGCTTTTGAGCCGTGGTGCTGGAGAAGATTATTGAATATGTCATGGACTGCCAGGAGAATAAACAGGTTCTCCCTTGAGAGGTGGAAATAGGCTACTCCTTGTAGGCAAGGCCTTTGATGTTCTACCTGACATACTTTGGACATGTTGTAAGGAGGGACCAGTCTCTGGAGAAGGACATCGTGCTTGGAAGGGTGGAGGGACAGTGATCTTGGGTGGAGCTGTCCCATCTTCAGAACTGAAAGAAAAACCTCTATCTGTTTTTTTCTTTTTAATTCAAGAAAATAATTTGGTTATCATATGTCCTTATGCTTGTTTAGTTTTGTAAATGATTAAGGGCTGTGAAAAATCATGTGTCATATCTATGACTTTTAACCATATTTTCACTTTAAAACTTCATCCACGTCGCAGGTGTCCCTGTCAGATTGTCATCCTGGGATGATCCCAAGTCCAAAGTCAGCACCCAACCACAAATAGCAGATAGAGTTATGTCTCAGTCAGGCTCTCAGTACTTTGTCTCTACTTACAAATTCAAAGCATTAAAGTTAAGATGATTGTAGGATCTTGAGATTTTACCATTATTATTAACAATTTTTTTTTCAAAGAGCCACAGTTATTTCTGCACCAGTTAGTTTTACTGACAGTGTGACAGCTGAACCCACAATTAATTATTTGCTCAAAGGAAATGGGACATTCAGGTTTTATATCCCTCCTGAGTGCCAAGCTATTCCGTTCACAATACAAACAAAGCACAAGGCTTGGGCCAAGCCAATTATTTTTGGCCATTGTTTCTGTTGTTGAGTCAGGTCTGACTCACGATGGCCTAACATATAATAGAACAAAACATTGTCCAGACTTTGCCAGCTTCATGATCATTATTATGCTAGGCATTGATTTTATAAACATTAACTTATGGCAACGAAAAACACAAGTACATGTCTTTTTCCCTTGGACCAGAATAATTTTATAATAGCAGAGTTTATTTTCCAACAGAAAAATGAGAGACCCTCCATTGCAGTGGTAGTATCTCCTCAGCAGTTTTGATAAAATATAGTTTCAATTACAATCCACTGTATGGTGGGCTTTATGTCAGGTTGGGGCATGGGACTTGAAAGTTAATCTTGTTCTAGAAACAATTCCTAATAATTCTCATTTCAACATGTTGAGAAGAAGTACCAACTCCTATTTTTCCTTACAAAGATATGCCAAAATATTTGAAAATGTGTAAGTATACATACCTGCTAGTGGAGTCCAGAAATCCAGTAGCACCAGAGAACTGGGGCCAGTCAAGCTCATCAGAAAGAGCTGCTGGTAAATGGAGGAAGGAGTTCTTAAAAAAATAAAAAAGAAAAGAAAAGAAAAAGGTTGTAATTTTTAGAATGGGCCATTTGTTTTTACAGACAAAGCCTCTGCATAGATATTTCTTGGTCTTCCTCATCTCTACCTCCTTCCACAGAGGCTTTCTGCATTTATAGCAACTGCCTTTAACTATCATCAGATAATGCACACTAATCAGCCTGACTCATGATTTGACTCTGGGCTGTCTCTTGTGAAAGATGTGGGAATGATGACATCTCATGCATTTCAGAAGGACGATCCAGTGGACCTGTAAAAAGTCCACTTTTAAATTCTTCATTATTTTCTCTACTTTTTTTTTTTTTTTTTGTTGTTGTTGTTATGTGCCGTCGAGTCGCCTGCGACTCATAGCGACCCTATGTACAACAGCCCTAAACTCCGCTCTGTCCTGTGCCAATCGCACTGTCTCTGATACTCCCATTTTTATTTTAGATAATCAGAAAGTCAATTGCCTAAAAATTAATAGCACCCAAGTCCATAGCAAAAATGTCTTCCCTGAATTTGAAGATACGCTCTCAGGCTATGAGATAGTGTATCCTGATCTTTTATGAGTAAAGCACAATCCAAAAAATCTGATTATGATTCTCTTTTACACAAAGATGCATCATATATAAATTTAGACCTAGATTCCTAGAGATACACAAGCACTTACTTCAGAAAGTCAAAGACTAAATACAGCCTTTAATACATCAACAATATAAAACTAGGCCAGGTGCTGATTGTGGAAGAGACCATCAACTGTTCATATGGAAGTTCACATTAAAACTAAAGAAGGTTAAATAATACCCACAGGAATAAAAATGTTTGAGACTCTGAACACCAATGAATGAAGACCAGATAAACTATGGGAAGACATCAAGAATAGAATATTACTCATAAAGAATTCAAAAAGTCATTACGAAGAAGGAAGAAGAAGAAAAAACTAAAATGAATGTTAGAAGAGACTCTGAATATTGCGTGAGAGTGCCGAGAAGCCAAAGCAAAGGGAAGAAATCAAGACGTTAATGAGCTGAATAGAAGATTTCAAAGTGCTGCTCAGGAAGACAAGGCAAAGCATTATAGCGAAATGTGAAAGAAGCTGGAGTCAGAAAATCAAAAGAGCCGAACTCACTATACATCTCGTAAGCTGAAAGAACTAAAGAATAAATTCAAGCTACGAGTTGCAATGCAATAGGCAGGGTATGAAATGATTCCAGAAGCATTAAAAGCAGATGGAAGGAGTATACAGAGTCATTGTATCAAAAAGAATTGGTGGACACAGAAGAATTCAAGAAATATGAATTCAAGAAATATATGAACATGAGGCAATGTTGATGAAGGAGGAAGTGCAGGCTGCTCTGAAGGACTTGGCAAAAAAGAAAGCCCTAGGAATTGATGGAATACCAATTGACATATTTCAGCAAACAGATGCTGCCCTGCCTGTGCTCATCAAGTTGTACCAAGAAATCTGGAGGACAACTACTTGGCCAACTGCCTGGAAGAGATCCATACTTATACCCATTCCATAAAAAGATAACCTAAAAGAGTGTGGAAATAATCATACAATATCACTAATATCACACACTAGCAAAATTGTGCTGAAGAGTATCCAGAAAAGACTTGAACATTGACAAAGAACTACCAGAAATACAGGCTGGGTTTAGAAGAGGTCATGGCATTAAGAACATTATTGCCAATGTCAGATAGATCTTGGCAGAAAGCAGAGCAGAGAGTACCAGAAGAATGTCTGTGTTTCATTGACGATGCAAAGGCATTTGACTGTGTGGATCACAATAAATTGTGGCTAACCTTGAGGAAAATGTGACTCTAAGAGCACTTGATCGTGTTTATTCAAAACTTATATTTGAACCAAGAAGCAGTCCTCAGAAGAGAGCAAGGAAACACTGCATGGTTAAAAATCAAGAAAGGAGTGTGTCAGGGATGGATCCTGTCCCCATACCTTTTCAATCTGGATGCAGAACAGATCATTCGGGAAGCAGGGCTTTATGAGGAGGAGTGTGGCACTGGAGGAAGACTCATCAACAACCTACAATATGCACATGACACAACCTGGCTTGCTGAAACTGAGGAGTACCTGAAGCACTTGCTGCCAAAGGTCAAGGACTGTAGTCTTCAATATGGATTGAATCTCAGCATCAAGAAAACAAAGATTCTCACCATCAGGTCAATTGGCAGCACCATAATAGATGGAGAAGAGATTGAGGTTGTTAGCAATTACAGCTTGCTCAGCTCCACAATCAACACTCTATAAACACCAGCAGTCAGGAAATCAAAAGACGAACTGCATTGGGAAAATCTACTGTCATGGACCTCTCCAGAGTGCTGAAAAGAAATTATGCCAGTTTAAATACAAAGGTGCGCCTAATCTACGCCGTGGTATTCTCAATTACTTGTTATGCTTCAGAGAGCTGGACAATGACTAAGGATGAGAGAAGAAGGATAGATGCCTTCAAGTTGTGGTGCTGGCAAAGAGGCTTGAACATACTATGGACTGCCAAGAAAACAAATAGGTTTGTCTTGGAGAGGGTGAAACCAAGTCTCTCCTTTGAGGCTCGGACTTTGAAGCTCTATCTCACTTACTTTGGGCACGTGGACAGGAGAGATCGGTCCTTGGGGAAGGACATCATGCTTGGAAGGGTGGACGGACAGCACAGGAGAGGGAGACCTTGGATGAGATGGATTGGTACAGTAACTGAAGTGGTGGGGGTTGGTGTCCTGGTTCAGGACAGGGAAGTGTTCAGAGCTGCTGTACATAGGGTCGCTATACATTGCAGGCTACTAAATGGCACATAAAATCAATAACATACGATGACAGGTTTGGAAGCAGGAGTGGCATGCTCTTCCTAAATAACATGCCTCTGGAAACTCTATGAACTTTGGTAAATGTGATAGTTGTAGAGGGGCTTCAGGCCTTTTGTTCATAGTGTGGCTATGAGTCGTGCTTGACTCAAAGGAAATCAACAACAACAATAAGTATTCCTTTTTTTTAACATCTAAACAAATATTCGCACTACTGGACCCATAGGTAACATCATGATAAATGGAAAAGGATTGAAATTATCAACAATTTTATGTTACTTGGATCTGCAATCCAAGGATGGATCTCATGGCAACAGCAGTCAAGAAATCAGAAGATATATTACATTAGGAAAATCTACTACCAAAGACCTCTCTAAAGTGCTAAGGAGTAAGGATGACAGTTTAAAGACTAAGGTGTGCCTGAATCAAGTCTTCATATTTTCACTTGCCTTCTACACATCTGAAAGTTGGACAATGAATAAATATTACAGAAAAAGAATTGATCCTTTTTGATTGTGGTGTTGGAGAAGAGCACAATTTCTAATGTATTGCCAAAAGAAAAATGTCTATCTTGGAGGAATTCCAGTTAGGATTCTCCTTTGAGGCAAGGTGGTAAAACTCTATTTCACAAAGTTTGAGCATGTTGTCAAGAGGGATCAGACCTTTCAAAAAGACATAATTCTGAGAAAGGTGGAGGCTCAGAGGAAGAGAAAAAGACCCTGAACAATATGGATTAATGCAGTGATTGTAATAATGGCATGAATATATCAGGAATCATGAGAATGGTACAAGAAAAAGCAAACCTATAAGATGTCCAATTACGTTTGAATTTCATATAAAGGAGGAAACACTTAAAAAACTATTCCTCATACAATAATTGGATATATTTGTATATATAAAAGTTCTTGTTATCTGAAATGAGAATGTCATTAGGAAGTCTGTAGTTTATCTGGCAACATTATTTTAGATGAAGTCTCTGAAGACAAATATTACTTTGTTTGCTTTGGCTGACAGGAAGCTCTATGACCACCTCAGTGCCTGGTTACAGGAAGCACTTTATCCAAAGTATGAGGAACATCACCACTATCCTGCCCTTGCATTTCTACACATGATAACTCATATCCCTTTGGATCAGCAGGAAAACTTCAAGTGAGCTTTTAACATTATTTTTGTCAAAGTTGCCAAGTCCATTTGGAGAGGGGGAATAATTAAGTCTCTTGCTGTGCACCATCGAATCAGGACCAAGTCATAGCTGACCTTCCAGCAGGTGTTTTTTGTTTGTTTGTTTGTTTTTAAGTCACAGGGGAGGATATTGCCCATCTTTCTCCTGTGGAGGAGATGGTGGATTTAAACTATGTGTCTTTGGATTGACAGTGCAATTCCTTATGACCAGGCCACAAGAGCTCTCTATATTCTCTAAATTTTCTGCATGCAAGGAAAAAAAAATAGCTTCATACTTCAGAGTACATAAAAATCAATTCTAATTAGAAATTAGAATAAATTGTAATTATAAATCTAAGTGTGAGAATTAAAACCATAAAATCATAAAACGTTTTCAGTAGAAAACACAAGAATGTAGCTTTGGGACTAATTTTTAAGGATAGGTTCTTAGAACACCAAAACTCTAAAGAGCTGAAGACAAAATAGATAACTGAATTTCAACAAAATTTTTTAAAAACTTGTACAAAAAATTTTATCAACAGAATTAAGAGATACCTACAAATCATAAGAAAATTTTGGAGACCTATTATCTGATGAGACTTGAATATCCATAATATGAAAAGAATTTCTACAAATTAACAAAACCCCAAACAACTCAATTAAACCATGGACAAAGGACTTGAATATACATTTTTCTAAAGAAAATATAAAAATAGTCATCAAGAACATGAGAAAATGTTTCACTACGGTGAAGTCATAGTAATTAAAATATTTAGAGGGTGGAATCATTGCTAGGAAAAAACTGCTTAAGAGTGCCCTCTAGTGACCCTTATGAGAACATCAGTCATTTCATTGCCCTCCAATTGGAACGGATTCATACATAGCTGAACCTCTATGGGGGTTCTAAGGCCTGAACTCATTCTGGGGAGGAGATCACTGATCCTCTCCCTCAAAGTAGCTGGTGTATTCCAGTCACCAAAGAGGCACAATCTCTTATGAACTATGCTGCAGAAG